ATAACAAAATTAAATAGAAAAGAAGAGGGCAATCCTGACGGACACAACCTTCCGTGGTGAACTCGGGCGAAAAAATGCCGTAAGTTCGGATTCGACTTCGATTATTCATCACCATTGTACAGCGAGATACAGTGAGGCGAACTTCACTGACCGCTGCCAAACTCGCAACGCATATAGGGTTTGTGGTAATATTCAAGGTGGAGAGGGACTGGACCTATTTTGAGGGAGTTTCGTTAACTCCAAGACCAAAACTCACTGCCTTCTCGTAGCGGCGGTGTTTTCACACCACCGTGATAGGACATCCGGGGCTCTTACCGGGTTGGTGGACCACTGACAGTTCACCTAGGGGAGCTGTCCAAAATCCCTGATTACAAACCAAACAAGAGGCGTACGAACCACGTACCTTCCCAGTTGAAGCAATGGTCCCTGGCTCAATCGAGCGACGAGGTGTATTGAGCACCTTGGATGGTTGACGTTGTTTAAAGGACGTATGACCCGATGTACTGGACAGTGGCCCCTAATGGACTGCGGTTTTCACACACCTGCCCCGCTGCCCTCAAAATAGATCCTATCCGTCCACCTTAAATATTACCACTAACCTTGTATGCATTGTCATTTTGGCAGCGATCAGTGAAGTTCGCCTCACTGTATTTCGCTGTACGATGATGATTATGACGCGGGTCAGGCTTTGGCTATCCAAAGACTCCAACTGTAGATTCCTCAAGAAAATCCACCTGCCTTGGTCTAGGCAACCTAGCAGTATTTAACCCACATACAAATCATGGAAGGTCATTTTTATAATGATTATTGTATTACGATTCGTTTGGCTCACAGTCTGTGCGAACAAGACTAACGCTAAGCCTCCATCCTTAAAAATCGATGGGGACAGCCCGTCCGGGCCGAAGGCCTTATACCCTTTGTGATGATTGACTTCCCGGGGGAACTTCCATTTCAACTGGATGACTGATATCAACTGGCAGTATTTGCCCATTAGAAGCAGGTATATATGGAGGTCTTGTATCAAAGGGGACCAGTTGAACTGTGCCTCGAGATGTTCTGCTCATCGTTCAAAACGGCGATGCTGATGACAAATCAGTGTGCCGTCAGACTCGTTAACTACTTCACGCCTAATTTATTTGGGTCCATACTCCTAGTTAAACGAAACATTTCTACTACCACCGACAGCCGCAGCCTTCTTCATCTCTACACTCTTCTATCAACCACTACACGCGGTTATCCTTCAGGCTCTTGATCAGCTGATGTTTAAGGGGTTTACGCGCTTAGTCATATCAGAAGGAAGTTTTGCGAGCATCCACCAAGTCGAGGCCGTAAAATTCCAACGTGTTTGTCTCTTTTGTGCACCCGAATTCGCCTTTGGTCTGACTGACATTAGGATCACTTCCTTGATTGCTGTTCAGTGTTTGATGAATCCTCCGGGTTCGGCTGAAAGGCGATCAAATATTTCCGCCTCGAAGGCGATTTGCATTTATCGCTGATATAGTTTTGTGGGTATCCGTTTCCGGTTAATTCTCTGCGGTTGTTTACCAGACGCAGAGAGGACCTTGCTCGTANCTTGCTCGTAGCAGAGCATAGACCATGTTCACCGGTGTTGCCCAGTAAGGGCGGCAGTGTTGAACGGATTCTCGCAAGTGATAGCTGATGGCGGTGGTCGACTCGAGTCCACTCCTGTGACGAAGTTGGTGGTTTCCATGTAAGGCGGTGTCGTTTTTTTTGTGCCTGACAGGAACAGGCTGTGGTTAATGCAGAGTTGGAGTAGGCGTTCTCCGCTGGCTGAGATTGCATGAATATCACCAAGAAACTTTGGAAACATGGTAGTACCCCGCCCATGTCTAAATCATGACTCCTTTGTTATTAGGATTTTCGTGTTTAATTTTTTCAGCAGAGTTTAGACTTATATGGGTGAGAAATCTGTAGGCAGGCTAAAACAGGTTGAGAGTAACAGAAGCGGGGTGGCATACATGCACTTTCCTGCGATGAACATCAGACGGAGAAAGCCCCATAGTCACGAGGACCTGCTGTTCAGTGATGGAAACCGGTAACCTGAGCCAAGGGACTTGGAGTGGTGAACCACATAAGGCCCCGATAGGTGTGGTATTGAGCCGGACGGCAGCATAGCTGCCTACCACCAAAATGCGGAAGCAGCCATCCTGGAGTGTGAAGATTATCATGATCAAGCAACTTTGATTGGAATGTCCCACTATCAAGGGTTGACCGATCTCTGGGTAGAGCAAGGAACCCAGCAGCAACCGTGCATCAGTAAGCTTCGGCCCTGCGGTTTCCATGTGATTATGCAAAGGTGAAGTGTGCCTCCACAAGGGTGGGTGACAGTGGGATGAGAGTGAAACAAAAATCCCCTGAACTATACTCACTATGAAGCCAGTTTATTTTCCAACTAGAAGGCCGGAGGGATTATCTAGGGATCAATTAAGTACATAACGTAAGCGGAGCCAAGTGAACAACCGCAAGTACCTAGTCATGCTTCGTGCTTGGACATAAATGTGCCATGCACGTCGAGGGATTAGTAGTGTGAAAGCACTATGGCTAGGTGACAGCCTTTTGATTGAAAGTTTCTCCCTATCTGAAAATTGGATAGTTATATTTTCATCAAAAGAAAGTACAACGAGAAGGAAAAAAGTTATTCAGTGAAATTTCAACTCACTTTCAGTAATTGTTGCTCGGTCATTTTCAACCCCTCGTACAAATTAGAAAACGCACTGTCCTTCCCCTCCCCCTGCTCTTGGGGTGTGACTTCCGTTGCCTTCGTTAGAACATCGGCAACATCCAGTAAATCCTTGCAAAAGCTTTGAATACCAAATATTTTAGCTTCTTCAATTTGGCGCATCAGCCGCTTCCGCATGTTTTCTGACTCAGCTAACGCCCGTTTGTATTTGTCCTCAAGTTCCGCGCGAGCATGGAGGAGTTTCTCGTTTTCCGCTTTAATTGATAACAACTCCTCTGATGGAGGAACTTCTTTGGGAGGAACGTCTTCTGTGGCTGAGCATTTATCTTCCACCCGTGTGCTACTTAACTTCGATGCGATAAGTCGACTTAATAAAAAGTTAATCAGGGAAAGACCGAAACTCACTAAGACTGCAAACGGAGTAAGCCGCCACGACATGCATAGAACGTGCGAATGAGCGACATGAGATCGCAGTGATGACCTTGTCGAATGACCTTGAAGCTCAG